GGGTCATTAAAACGCTTTTTTATATAGCGCTTGATTGAAGGATGTAAAAGAATATTATCAATGAGAATCCACGTCTGTAAACAAATCAGTCTTACTAACAAAACAGAAAATAAAGATGAGTATATTTGGGACAGAAAATCCTGACTTATTTAGAGAAAATACTAGTAACCAAAATAAATAAGCATGCAACTAGTTTTAGCATGAAGATTTTGAATGAGTTTTTGCAAGTGTTCTGTGTTACCACCATTATTTTCAGGAAAAAATCAAATGGATTGCCGCATAAATAATAACAACAGTCAGCATAATAATAACAATAGTGTTGCATTATGCATGTACTATGCCTAAATAGTAGGCATAGTACATGCATAATGCAACACTATTATATAAATATATGCTTTTTAATATACCTCCGGGTTATGTTTTTATTTATAATTTTTGTAGTTAATCTTTTGTTCCAATATTACGTCATTTAATTCATAAATGACCATTTTAGTCTTTTGTTCCAATATTACGTCATTTAATTAATAAATGACCATTTTCAATTCTAATTTGTGTTTGAGTGATTTATGAAAATCAAACAGAGCCAAAATAAATGAGAGCAAAGGGATTTGACAAAATGTATATTTTATTGAGTACACTACTATTTTATGCTCCTTTACACCCCGTGGATACTAACATCTGATCACGTGTGTTGTTTTTTCTTACCTTCAATTTTTTGAAAAAATCTGTTTATCCTGGAAATTTTGTCAACCCAGCTAAATTTTACATTAAAAGAAATAAAATCTTGCGGTTGCCCCCCCCCTCCACAAACTGACATTGGTTCTTCATACGGACACATAAGAAATGTCATTTATTCAGTTATTCTATACAATGCCGATTAAATTTCCTTTTAAATATTTTAAAATCAATTTCAAAAGCAATACTATAGAAAATAGTTTTATTTCTTCTTTTTGCAAGATACAAATATTCTATCTAATTTTTTGTTTTTCTCGAGATTTATTCAGAAGAAGAAATATAACGAATGCAAAGAAATCGCAAATCCAGATGCATAAACACACAGCTAAACAAATGTTTAGATACTTTGGCTAAATGAGATATGAGAAAGAGTTTGGAAGTTCGTGATACTTCGAGGCTTATCATCAAACTTGTTTAACTGACGAACTATGGGTGCCAGTTCGCAATAAACGTCTCTATTTTGATGCAGGATGACCACGCGCCCCTATATCGTCAGCTGATTAACTTTCCCGCTCAGCTTAGACAAAAAAGCGTAAAATAAGAGACGTTTCCATTTCTGCGCCTTTAGAGGGAAAGGACTATTTGATGTATCTTCTAACTCTTCTGTTTTTCAGGTACGTTCTAATGTTACATTTCATTTCAAAAATGTTTTAAAACATGATTATTTTTTTTTCAGAGAGATTTGATTTTATATATCATGACAAAGATAAGGGCATTGCTCATGTTCACAATATACTAGAAACGTTAAGATACAGAGATGTTCAAATCATGAGATGTTCTAAGTTTTACATGTAAATTGTGTCAACTTTAGTTTTCTCTCTGAGCCCTTTTCTTAATGACATTTTCTTACATAATTTAACAGTATATGAAATATAAATCAGAAAGTTTTTTTTTTCTTCTCCTGACTAAGTATATAAGATTATATACATTAGGAAACTATATTTAAAATGAAAGACTGTGTTTGGAAATATCTACTGCCTTATCTTGATACAAAGCTAGTGTATAAATATATTAGGGAAAATGAATGTAAAGAATATATAAAAAAAGAAAAAATATTCCAAAATAATCTGAAAATAAAGTCATTTAAGTTGCAAACATTGCAAATGGAAAATCTGACATCTTTTTTCATTTATTCTTCTTATAATTAACTTATTTATTTCAGATTTGATTTCATTTTACATAATGATAATATTTTTGTATTGTCTTTTGATTATTCACATTCTTTTTAACATATGTAATGTCGATTGATCAATGACATTGAATTAAATGAATATTGGTCATTTATATAACTGTTCATAATTAAAAAAAACAATTTTATTGTATGATATTTAAATTGTCTATTTATACGAGTATATATTGAAATGCCTTTCGGGCCCTTGATTTGGTAAATAAAACATCTTGTATGTGTTCATATATATATACATTTGTGGTATCTCTCCATTATATAAACATACAGAGAACAAATATCTTCAATTCTGTGTGAAGTTTGCCCGAGGTCAGAGGTCAATACGTGACCTAATCACACGGCGCAATGATCTCTACCGGTACAAAATGACTTGCTTTACCTGCTTTTCATGTATAGAAATGAACAAAATAAGGAAGTAAAATAATTATTTTTTATTTACTATGTAAACGAATATTTCATACATTTTTTTGGCTATCGATTTAACCTGCGTACATAGAGAATATACACATGAAAACTAGCGTTTGTTTACAACTTTTATCAGTTTTATCAGCTGCACAGTCTCTAACGTTTATCCTATTTTTTGGGATAACCTTTAGTTAAAATTCCATGAAAAACTATAATATTTTCATTAAATTCTACTCACGATAAATGTGTAAATCTGTTGGAAAATATCAAAGCATTGCAATCACACCACAAACAGCTGACAAACACTTCGGAGTGTCAGTAAGCTGTGTCTCCGTTACAGTTTTCATCATAAATATGCCTTTATTCATTGAAATCGTAGATTGAATGTTTTTGATCAAATCCATTTGATTGCAAATTGACTGGCTCAGTCAAGTGTTTCCATCCATCGGACCCATCCATCCCTTTCTGGCGACCGAAATTCCTCCAACTTTTTATCATCAATCTTCGATTCGGACGTGTTTCTTGTGTCTTTTAGCATTGGTTATCAGTTTTCACGAATAAAAATATTCCCAGACGACACTCTGTTCACTATTACCGATCAGAAGTAGCCTTTCACAAAATATTCCCTTAGAAATAAAATCCTAGCTTAGCCTGGTGACTTCGAAGCGTAACCGCCATTCAAGCCGATTTACACCTTGCGCCATTTTTCAAAATCTACAACGGACGGTTAGTGCGATAATTTAATTCGAAAATATTTAATTGTCTGTCTCAAATGTATATATAAGTAATGATTAGCAAGTTCACACGTGATTAAATCTTTTGAGAACGTCTTAGGCCTTCACAGGGTTTGATCACGTGACCGACCCCACTTCAATTCCCATTGAAGTTTATAAACTTGTTATTTATTTCTTAAATATTGAACTTTTCCGTACTCTCCAACTCATCTGAAATGAGATAACAGTTGTCTCCCTGCACGTGACCTGCTCTTAACCAATCAGATTAACTGTATAATTCTGAAGGATAATAATACAGAGTGTGACATATCTGTTTCATATTTGGATATTTTACTTGAAAAAGACGTTAATGGTAATTGAACAACCAAGCTCTTTGATAAACGTGATGACCTTAAATTTTCTATAGACAATTTTCCTAACTTATATAGCAATATACCTTCATCACCTACATACGGAGTTTATATATTTCAGATGAATCCATACGCAAGAGCAAACTCTCAGCATTTTCTATGACTATAATTTATTTACAAATAATTTCCTAAAACAAGAATACTATCGTTTAAAGTCTCCATTTCGTAAGTTCCTTCATCCATGCAATGACCAAGTTAGTAAGTATAATGTACAATTTATTGTAACGTGCGCCGAATACACAAATCTATTTATAGCTCGCTGTGACACACTTACAACAACACACCAGCCAAAAAGAATTATAACTTTAACAAATTTTAATGATAGAAACAAATAATAATAATATTAAACAAACACACAGCTACAGTTATACACAAATTGACAAAATAAACAAATTCAGACAACGTTTACTCAGCTGTTCATTTCACGAATGTCCTCCAGTCCAGATCGAATTACACCACTCTATGTACATCAAACGCTATGGACGGTCGTTATTAAACACGTACTTCCACGGTGCACATCAGTCGAATTACAAAGTACGAAAACCATCAGTCCATTGCCGAGATCTGTCATGTCTTTCAAATCCCGTTTCCTCGCAGACGATCGCGAGCTCGTGCTGATGTTGTTCAGCTTCCGGAAATCCTCGTGATGTCACACAATAAAAATAGCAACTACCGCTGACGTAATGTCTATTAATAATTTTGATAACATTGGAGTATCGTATCGTTATCAGTGAGTCAAATGCTGACTGACATTTTTCATACTGATCGATCGGTCATTACATAAACACTGTTTTGTCGATTTTTCATTCTTTCCAAAACATGACCATGGACATACGGCGGGTGTGACCGATTGGCAGGGGATGCTTACTCCTCCATGGCACCTGATTCCATCTCTGATGTTTGGAGGTCGTTTGCTCTGCTCAAATTTTTAATTGTTTAGTGGACTTTTGAGCTTGAATATTGTACGTTATCTCAATATATTTTATTGAGCACCTGCTCCTTAACATCCCTTAGATACTAACATATCTATCTTAAATCTTATATTCCAAAATTAGAATCACAGGGCTGCTCCCACTCCACAAACTGACATTGGTTCTTCATACGGACCCGTTAGAAACGTATTTATTCAGAAATTCTATAAAATGCCTTAAAATATTTTAAATTCAAACTCAAAAACAAAAGCTATAGAAAATAGTTTTATTTCCCCTTTTTTGCAAGACAAAAATATTCTATCTAATTTTCTTTGCATTTCTCGAGATTCTTTCAGAAGAAGAAATGTAACGAATGCAAAGAAATCGCAAATCCAGATGCATAAACACACAGCTAAACAAATGTTTAGGATACTTTGGCTAAATGAGATATGAGAAAGAGTTTGGAAGTTCGTGATACTTCGAGGCTTATCATCAAACTTGTTTAACTGACGAACTATGGGTGCCAGTTCGCAATAAACGTCTCTATTTTGATGCGGGATGACCACGCGCCCCTATATCGTCTGCTGATTAACTTTCCCGCTCAGACTTGTCCTGAAAAAGTAGACAAAAATGCGCAAAAAAGGTTTGTCCATTTCTGCGCTTTTAAAGGAAAAGGAATACTTGATGCACCTTCCAATTCTTCTGTTTTTCACGTTGGCAGGTAAGTTCTAATGTTATGTTTCATTTTTTTTTAAGTGATTTAAAAAATGATTATTTCTTTACACAGAGATTTGATTTTATATAGCATGTCAAAAGATAGGGGCACCGCTCATATATACAATATACAAGAAAGCTGAAGCTAACTTTTCAAATAAAGAGTTGTTCTTATATTACTTGTATGACAACATTAGTTTGACTCTCTTGAATCGTTTTAATTTATGGCATTTTCTTACATAATTTAAAGTTATATAATAGGTATTGAAACTTTGTTTTCCCTTTGACTTAGGATAAGACTTAATGCATTAGGAAACTATATTTAAAATGAAATGCTGTGTTCAAAAATATATCTACCACCTTTATACAAAGTTAGCGTATAAATATATTTGGGGAAAATGAATGTAAAGAATATGCAAAAACAGAAAAAAAATACTCCAAAATAATCTGATAATAAAGTTATCTCAGTGGTAAACTATTGCAAATAGAAAATCTGGGATCTTTATTCATTCAAATTCTTCTTAACTGTATTTCAGATTTGATTTCATTTGACAAAATATTTTTCTGTTGTCTTTTGATCATTGACATTCCTCTGGACATGTGTATTGTCAATTGATAAATGACACTGAATATAACGAAACTTGGACATTTATATAACTGTTTATAATTAAAAAAAAAACAATTTATATTGTAAAATATTTAAATTGTTCGCAGTTATATATATTGAATTGCTTTTCGGGGCCCTTGATTGGTAAATACAACATCTTGTACATGTTCAATAAACATACTGTGTTTACGGATCAAAAAATTGAGGAGAAACTAAAAAATCTATAAAAATAAATTATAAAGTAAGACTGGTTTATTTTTCTCACTTTAAAAATATGAAAATTCAGATCTAAAAGGAGAGAAAGAAAGAGAGAAAATAGAAAGAGAGGAGGGGAGGGAGTGAGGAATTGTTTAACTTAACGTCGGCTAGCTTTAGTTATGTTTACATGCAAAATGAATCTTTTGAACTCTGTTAATAATTTGTTTATGTTGTAGACCTATTACATCTGTTTTTCGCGGACATGCTTCTTAAAGTACAGTCTTCTCTCATGTATATTTTTTTCATTCATGTTTACAAACACATGTCGCGAGGACATACTCGGCTTTCATAATTAATATCCAACTCCCGTCGCTTTGGAATACACATTTGGCTGCAGCTCGGCATCTGGTTTTTTTTCTGGTTTTAAATGAGTAACCTCTTTGCAAAAAAAAGTTACAATGGTGTAAATGTCGGTAGAAAAATAACAGCAGCCGTGTATTGTCATAACATTTAAAGTCTTGTTTCAGCAATCGACAAAAATTAGAGGCGGGATGGATGTTGAACATGTGTTAAGAGGGAAAGTGATAAGACTAAACGACTCCTCTAATCTATTCTAATGATTACGATAAGTCTTAGGAATAAATCAATCACGACATGATTTATCGCCACAACTTTACTCTGACAAAAACAAGACAGCAAATTGTTGGATGTGGTCCTATCTTTGGTTTATTTTAACAAGATTTTTGTGATTTCTCAAAACATTGCATATTAAAAAACAAATTAACTTCTTTTCTTAAACTTTAACATTGATGATTGACATATATTTTTACATATTAAATTTGCAAAAGCTTGATAAGTAAATTAAAGTTACTATCGAAAAAAAATCATATTTCAGTGAGACAGTAAAAACCATCTTTTATAGCACATGCCATGTTTTTACACGTTTTCCCTAAGTTTAGGTGTTATCTTATTTTTTGGAAACTTCCAGTAGAGTCACAAATTGACACGATATATATGAGGGTAAATAACTCCCCCGACTCCGTGCCTTTAATTAGAGCTGGTGGAGCGTTGTCTGTTCACTACGCTGTTTATTGTTTTCAAGACGCACCTGCTAATTAGGGGAGGATAGAATCTTTATAGGGTTATTACTACAGTAAACAGGTCTCTCTCTGTCTGTCTCTCTGTCTCTCTCTCTCTCTCTCAGATAAACAGGAAAATATAGTTTCTTATTTTAAGATGGGAAACAGGAATAAATAGAACGTACGTACAGTGTATCTGAAAAAAAGAAAAATGACAAAATAATATGCAAAGAGTGTTTCCAAACTCAGAAATCTTATTACGTTGTGGATGAGCGGGAAGGGGGGGGGGGGAATAATAATACAGTATACATCAATTAGTGCCATGGGAGGGGGATGATCATGCAGCCATTTAGTAGACAAGTTTAATTGTGAAATAGCTAGGGTATTCATATGAGTGAGGATATATGTATAAAAATATCATATATTTTATACTCTTTAATTAGTTAATAATTTAAAGGTGAAAGTTGAAATAAACTTTGAAATTTAATGCATTTTCTTACTATAGTACATGTTTTCAATCTTTAATTTTGTTCTTACTTTAATTAAGGAAGCCTCGGTGCCGATTTCCCATATTGCCCGAGCCCAGTACAGAAGTACGCATTTGAATGTTTCACCGACTACAACACTCAGATGTTAAACATGAAGAAAAGCAGCGCCACCCTATTGTCAGGGGTGGACGTAGAAATATTGCGGGCTTTCTGCAGGTAGCAGCATGAACCGACTTATACTCTTTCATATAATATGTCATGACTTTCATAATCCAGAATACAATACTTTATCAGATGAAAATATTCAACTTAAGATGACTTCATTTAAAAAAAAAATTAACTGAAATGACCTTCTATTCATGAATCTTAAAAGTTCTGTTCTATATTTAACTCTTATATTAACGAGGCCCGATCTACTTGATCTGTGCATGCATACGTTTTAACGCAGCGTCGACTCAGGCACGTCACAGTACTCTGGACTGCCGTCACAATTGAATACAATAACGTCATAATTAAAATGACGTCAAATTGCGCTAAAATGTTTCGCTGATCTACCTCTATAGACTGTGCTTGTTGAAAGCTGGCTAATTCTGGCATTTTTATTACTTATATGTTTTTAGAAAATATGTTTTTTTTTTAAATTAATAAACAACTTTGAAACATAATTTAGTTTTAGGTACCAATTTCTTGGTACAGATTCATTAATTTTATCTTGCTTCAATTTGTGAGTTAAAAAAAAAATCCCACTGCAACCAGAAGTAAACGATTTTAGTCTATCTCCTCGAACATTGAAGTGTTTATAAATATTCTCCACTTTTTATTGAGCATAAAGAGAAAATTATGTCATAATGCAAAAATAATTTAATTTTTAGAAACTTATACAGTATTACAATCGTTTGTTGGTCTTATGTAGACCTATTGCAACTTATAAAATGTCTAGTTGGATAAAATGAGTCCTGTTTTTGTGTTTTGATATGCCCCCTTTTCACTGCAATAAAAGCTATCTCCGATTTTCTTTTCATTTTTTTAAAAGAGGGATGTGAATTGCATGATATTTGTGAACATCAAAACATTTTAACATCTATTTATTTTTTAATTTGTCAATTCCTTTGTTTATTGTGGAGTTTTAGTATGTAATTGTGTATAAAAACACGAACAATGGTCCATATCTTTAAAGTGCCCCCATTTGACTACAATAAAGGCAAGGTAACAAAATTTCATTCTAACTTTTTTTAGCATAATACATACAAATTTATTTCCAAGAATCAAATTTTTTTTATCATTTCGTTTTCGTAATTTCCAACTAGATTGGGCCTCGTTAAAAAACAAATTTGAAAGTGTTTTTGAAAATTTGGGGGAACGGGAAAACATGATAAATACTGAATAACTCCCTCTTCTAAAACGAGAAACATTTGCCAGAACTGTCAACATACATTGATATAGCTACTATACCGCGTAATCTTCAAACGAAAAAAAAAACGCTTTATATAAACATTTGAATTTCAGTATATCCTATCAGATATATACTTTTGACGTTTTGGAATGTGATATGTTGTAGTTCCTACAATACGGCCGTAGCCTGCATCGGGAATATTAAGGAAGTATGCCCCAAGTCTCTCCACCGGAAGATAGAGGCTACACAGATGAACCTGGAGGGCGCCCATTCTGAGCTCTCAGAGCTCTGCTCCGACGACAGTATTTATGAACGTAAGACGCACATTTTGTAAAGAAGCACGATTATTTTGCTATTTTTATGGGTACAAGCGCATGTGTTGTGCATCATATGGCCTTAACTTCACCCCGAGGTTTATTTCTCTCAATGAAAGCATCATCTTGTCGAACATTGAAACAATGGTACAATGATGAAAAGATTGATCAAACAATTGATTCTGACAATTCTTGATATATCTTAGATTTATATTGTCATATCTATCCTAAAGCACTGTTTCTGAAGATATGGGTACATACATGTAATTAAATAAATTCCTACAGAATAAAGTTCATGGGAAACTTACAAAAACAACCAAGATGAATAGATGACCGGGGTATGTAACCTTTGGACATAAGGTTTGAGGAACTCTTTCAAGGGAAGGGGGATGTTATGCTCAATCCTAACCAAGTTAAAGTACAGTGTATAAATTTGTAAATTTTGCAAACTTACATGGAAGTGAAATAAAGTATGATGGATGTGAGAATCTTTACCCAACCGTACTGAAATACGTACAATAAAAATGTCCACACTTAATTCAAATTGTAATAGAATTTATATCAAAGACAGAAAAAAATAAATAATTAATACCCTATAAAAAGAATATGATCAAAAGGGATATCTCGATTGCAACGTCAAATGTGCTTTTTAAAGACAATTGATTGCCTTAATGTGCTTCGAACTGTATACAGAGTTCAAAAGCACGCAAAAATTTGTGTACAATGGCCATTTCAATTTAATCATTGGAAAATGTATCTTAATTTTTCAATCCTTATTATTGAAAATTCTTGCTCTCCTCGCACATCAAGCAGTTAATCAGTAATCCTGTCCCACTTTAGGTTACGCCCGCTATATGGCTTGTTTCCGGGAATTCGGGCCATACTCGGAGAGCTGCTTTAAAAGGGAGATGAAATCCCAACTTCGACTGATGCAGTGGATAAGCGAGGATGATATATATCAGTTATGTAGGTAAGATCTTAAAATACCTAAAAACTGTTATTCGATCAAGAATTTATAGAATTTATACTTATGCACACTAACCCTTTGATCGATACATCATATTTATTAAACGATTGCCATTTATCTCATTTCTATGCTTATCCTATAGCGATCTAGCCCAAACCTTGGATTGCATCACCTCCACAATAACCATCGAGTGTGGACCGGAAGCTGCGCAACTTGTACCCGTTCTTGTAAAACCCATGGTTAAGAAAAGCTCAAAGTGTGACGTCATATCTACAACGATATCGGAGGTGTCCCCTACTACGGCAAAGCGGCGTAGGCCGTACAGACAGGTAGATTCATATGTTACTCTTGATCGTTATTGATAATTTAGCTGTTATATTATCCTTTCTTGTCGATCTATAGATGGTGTTATATCAATTCTAATCGATCATACATGTATTACAATAGAAAAAATAGTAAACCTGAAATGAATGAAATGCGAATAAAGACACGTATTTTCTAATGGAAAATTGATCAAATAATATATTTTAAATTTAAAAAAAAACTAAAAATGTCTAGCCATTTTAGAAAACTACTTTGCTTACATGTAACACTTTTCATTTTAAGTCGTATGTGCTTCTTAAAATTTCTGAGAATATGACTAGAGATTTAATCCAGAATTTCATCCTTCACCATAAATGTTCGCCCATTTTAAACACACTGAATTGTCAACGGAATATATTCCCAATCAGACAAGGAGTATATGGAGGATGTGACCGGTTGGCAGGGGATGCTCACCCTTCCATGGCACCTGATCACACTTCTGATTTTATGGGAGGTCTATATTTGCTCTACTTCAATTTGGTATTGTTTAATGGGTCCTTGGGCTTGAATAATATTCGTTATCTCCGTGTATTTATTGCTTCTTATATATACAGAAGAAGTGTTCAATAATATTTGTTTTATGTCAAATATCTGCCTATTCTCGTGTGATCCTCCGGCTCTCCCAGACGTTTTGATTTCTGCGATCTTCTAGTCATAGTTTAGATCCCGTCACCTAGCAAGATCGTCGATATCACTAAAATGCATTATTATCATCTGTTATTTTCCAACAAAAACTCTAGGTTTAAACATGTGTACTTTTTTGGGGTTAGCATAATTTGTTATGGAGAGGTAGCAAAAGTAAGCGACTATAACAGGAAAAATTTGAAATTTAATTTTGCTGTGATGCATGCGTTGTAAAATGTATTGATTTAAACCTTCCGATTAGAGGCTTTATTGAGATAAGAATTAGCATAGGAATTTCTTCGATTTATTATATAGTGTATTTTAAATTTTATTTTTTACCTCTACTGATTTTTTTCCTAAATAAAAGTAAGGCAGTAAAATGTGAATAATTCCCAAGAAATCTCAGTGAATGGCCTAATTCTCCTAGCGTTAGTGAAACGAGCTAATCCCTGCTCTGGAAGCTAATTCCTCAGTTATCCGTAATCCTCTAGATTTTACTTTTGCATTGGTCAAATATATTAATGGACTAATTCTCCGTGCATTAGTCTTGAAGCTAATTCCCCGCCATTCGTAATCCTTTATTTGTATCGGTAAGAAGCATATCATTGAGGGAGTTAGCAGGATTCCAGTTCCCCTCGACCAGGATTATTTCCCTCGCCGCAGTCTTGAGGAACTAGATCTTGCTAACTCCCTCCATGATATACTTTAACTGCATAATAATCATCTAATATTTCCATTTCTATTTTTTTTCTCTGTGATAACTCTTTGACAGTTGATTTCTTGATAATTCTACCGGAATGTAAATTAGGCAGGTCAATAGGTCAGGAGCTAAGGCGCCTCATATGCACGCATTTCTCGTGCGCATCTTTCTCTGTGTCTGACGCTAAGGAGGCTATATATACATGTAAATCTCGTGCAGCTGCCTTTGTGTTTCACGTCAGTGGGTGAGGACTATTGAAATTGGCATGGGAGTCCTCGTGTAATTTAAATCTATGTCTACATTTTTAAAGTCTAAATCTACAATTTATTTCACAATGAAAGGGAAATATAAGGAATTACTGTCTAGTTACATGTAGTATACCATGCCAGGGACATCAACGATAGTGGGAAACATGGAATAATTTATGCATTATGGGATTCGCCCGTTATGCAAATTATTCCATGTTTCCCACTATCGTCGATGCCCTGGCATAGTATACTAACTAGACAGGGATTCCTTAAATTAATGTGTGGAATACTGAAAAATAGCAAAAGTATTGTTATTTTGCAACTGTCATTTTATGCACAAAAGGATCAAATAATGATACTTAATTTGTTTTTATTTACAGAAAACTAGCACGCCAATATCCAGCTTAGTAACTTCACAAGAAAAGGATAAATCATTGCACAGTCACGTTATATATGCGAACACTGAAGACAAAAATAAAGCCTCATCTCTTAGTTGTCGTGTAATAGTTATGTGTTTGACGTTTGTTTTCCTACAATACTTAAAAATTTAGCCTCTTCTTTCCGGAAATTTACTAAGTGTAGAAAGGTTAACAACTTACCCTTATCACTAAAACATACAATCACCTGTAGGAAGGTGCTCACTTGACATTATTTATATTCATTCTTCATTTTGTTTTAATTTTTGTTTAACATCCGAAAATTTTCCATAATCACACTTTTTGTTAACCGTTACCTTTGAGTCGAATATAAACAATATATGTATATTTTGTATATTCTGCAAATTCACTCTGTGATAGACAAAAACATTCCAGCTTCCGTAGGTACAGAACTATTTGATTGGTAATTAAGAATCAAATGAAGGGGGATCTGTGTCGGCGGAGGCGAAGAACAGCTTGTAAATTGTCCCTCACTCTCGGAAGGGAAATAGAAAATAATGTAATCAGAATGAGAAGCTATGATTAAAAGATAATGATGTACATTGGAAATAGATGTCCTTCTAAATGAAATATGTATTGTTGTTTATTGTTTATATTTAAATCAAATAATTATCCATGTACCTATTGATCAGTAAAACATGTCTGACCTGGACATTGTTTATTCTGATGAGATATGTAATTTTGTTTTCCCTTCGTAACGTTAAATTTTTTACATATCATCTACTCTCTAATGGGTACGGATTAAAGGTTATATCGTCCTCAGATTGTGTTTACGTGTTACAATATCAGTCTTTGGTTGTAAATTGTTTAAAAGACTTTTGAGCTTGAATACTGTTTGTCCACTGTGTGATGGACTTTTAAGGTTGAAAACTGTTCGTTATCTTCATATGTTTTTTAATCTCAAAAACTAGTATATGTTCTTACCCGAGTTTTATTTTAAATATGTTTTCAATGTTAAAACATCCGCTATGTTACAGTCTCAATTTTGATTAGACCCTAAACAATTTTCCCAATAACGTCATGTATTAGGTGTATTAAGGCATTGGGATATAAATTAGAGATATATAACCAGAGAAATAAATGTGTCTCTAATATAACTACAGAAGGAAATTCGAAATAAGACTTTTGATTTTGTTATTTAGAAAATAAAATGGAAAAATCTAGTAGACTTTGTTTCAATTTTTCAAGATAATGACAATGAGTATGATTTCAAATGACTTCTGAAATACATTTTTTGTGTGACGAACGTAATAAGATATATTTTCTACGCTTATTAACTTTTCAGAATATATATTTGCAAGGAGTAAAAACGTAGATTTTTTTGATTCCTCGACACCTGAATATAGACTCGGATCTGTGTTTATGGATATTGCAAATCATAGGCTTTTTAAACCCCCACGTTTCAAGGAAATGCAGCTAAACAATCCGTCCTTTCCTTAAACTTCAATATGTCAATAAAGGAATTGTATTTGAAAACAAGAAAATGGTAAACTAACAACTAAGCTCTATGATAAACTTAATGACTTTAACTTTTCTATCGTCAACTTCCCTTACTACAATACACCTTCATCACCTGCATACGGAGTTTATATATCTCAGCTGATTCGATACGCAAGAGCATGCTCTACGTATAAACAATTCCTAACAAGATAAATTATTGACAAACAAGTTGATGAAACAAGAATTATAGCAGTCTCGTTTAAAGTCATCATTTCATTAAGGTCAATGATACAATGACCTTGTCAGGAAATTCAAATTATCATTGAGTCAATTGCTGACTGACGTTCTTCATGCTAATTGTTAGTCCATTAATTACACTGAATTAACGATGGATTTTTCCGTTATTTTCCAATCCTGACAAAGTGAAACGGCGAATGTGACGGCAGGGAAGCTCATTCCTCCATGGCACCTGATCACTACTCCGATGTTTTGAAGGTCCGTGGTTGCTCTGCTCCTATTTTGTATTGTTTTATGGACCTTTGATTTTGAATACTTTTCGTTATCTCCATAAGTTTCATGGAAAATAATAATATTATATATCAAACAGTAAATTTGCAATCTATTTTTTAACATATTATCGTTTATTGACAATTCTACAAGAAATAGTGGGAGAGGGAGAGGGAGCAAGTTCCTTAATAAAAATAATCGCCCCCTCTGATATCACGATGTTACTGTTGATTTTACGCCTTTAGATGAATGCGTAATTCGAAAGAATTTCTTTTATTTTGCGCAATACAGAGGGGTATATATAATTAATGTATCATCATAACAGTTACTTGATCCAAATAAACGTATGACGTTTTGTTGGCCTGTGCGGATCAGCAGATCAATTAAGACGTGATACGACTCTTCGGATCTAGTGTCTGTAATCAGAATACTTTTATCCCCCCTTTAAACAAAAGATTACACAGAGTCTGACAAATCTGTTTCATATTTGAATATTTAACTAGAAAATGGCGTCCGTTGTTACCAAACAACTAATTTTTATGATAAACATGATGACTTTCCAATCGGTAACTTCATTTACTTGTGTAGATATATACCTTTTCATCTGTGCATTGAGGCAACGCACTTTGAACGAATTACGCACTTTGAAAGTTGTTTTCAAAGTGCGTTAAAATTGGGACAAAATTAACGCACTTAGAAATTTTTTTTTTCAAAGTGCGTTAAATTTGGACACACTTATCGCACTTTGAAAATTTTTTTGAAAGTGCGTTAAGACATTTAAAACATTTTTTTTTATTATGGGGACATTTAACGCACTTTAAAAAAATGTGCATAAAAAGTTGTAGATTTTAGTAATTGAGAGAATCAATTTGTATTGATTATATCTTTCGAAAAACCTTTTTAATTTACAGGTACTCATTTAACCTCATTGAGAACAAGGAGAAGACGGAGAAGAAGGTCTCTCATCCCAACTATTTTTTTCCTTAAACATGGCAAATTGAAAGTGGATCCCCCATCCCCAAGTAAAGCCCCAATTTTCAATGCCTATAATATGTATATATTAGCAAAACATTTGTGTGACTACCCCCCCCCCCAGTACAGATGCCTATGCTATACCCAGATATGTGTATTTGCATAACTGGTATGACGTTGAAAATTTTCAATTTTAGTTTACATAAAATGCATGCAGACTGGAAAAAATTAAGTACAGTAAAAAAATTTAAGAGAGAAAGCATTTTCAAAGTATGGAAAAATCAAAATAGCTCACCTCATCACCGAAGAGTTATCAAACAAGTTCAATTATTTATCATACCTAATATTTACAAGAATATTAACCAAGCCATACACATTTTTTCAAAGTGCATTATTATGGGCGATATTAACGCACTTTGAAAAGAAAATTTATTTTTTCGAAGTGCTTTGATTTGGTTCCAAATTTTTCAAAACAGTGCATGTATACTTTATAATTCCTAAATCATTTGATAATGAAGGACATGCTTTAGGTACGGAATTTTATTTAAAGTAACAATATCATGACAAGTCTATGTAACCAGAATGTAACAGATTTGTTAAAGTCACCACTTCGCAAATTCTATGATCAATACTATGACATTGTAAGTAAATATTATCTTTGTTGAGGCTAATTTCGAGGGTCGTTCTTCTTACTGATTGTAAGGCCATTATTTAGACACTGAACTGTGTATTTCTTGCCTATGATTTTGCGTATTGGATGATCTCGGATATTTATTTGACTCAATGATAAATTGTATTTGCTAACAATGTCATTGTATCGACCATAGAACTTCCGAATTGATGACTTTAAACGAGACTGTTGATATTCTTGTTTCATCCACTTGTTTGTCCACCAATAACTTCAAAAATTGTTCATATACTGAGTATGCTCGTGTGTATCGAATGACAACGTTGACTGGGAGGTACAGTATCAACTTTGTATGCATGTAATTGTTATTAATTCGTCGTCGATATAACTTTATTTCAAATTGAAATTCACAACAATCGTTCTCTTCTTCTGATATGTATTAGTTAGATTTTGATCAAACTCGTTGTAGTAAATTATCGAGTTGAATTTTTTTGTGATGCGGCTGCAAATGATGTTGTAAAGCATGGACTAAAAATTATTGTGGTGTAATAAAGTGTTGTTATACTAATTGTTTCGAATTAATTGAATTAGGTAAAATTTTCTCTCTTGAATTTTCACATGTTCCTAAGAGCTTTTGCTTTAAGTCTATGCTTAGAGTTTTTATGTATCTTAACTGATTATAAAACATCTAAATAATACTGAATTACAGTATTCCTGAATTTCTATATCATTGCTTTTAAAGTTACAAGGAAGCAGGTCTGCAGGAAGTAATTTAGTTAGTGGGTACACTTTAAAGCACCACCGAATAGAAATTTCTTAACAAAAATGTTTTGTGAGATTCCAAATTTTAAAAATGGCCGAAATGAAGAAAGTAACATTATCACAAAGAAGGAAATTAGAGCTACGAAGATAAAGTAAACCGGGAAGGAGACCTACTCTATGTAGAAAATTTTACGCCACAAAAAACTCCTATGTTGCAACCTTCAACTTGGGCTATTGTCTGAATTTTGCATGGTTTTCACGCGAAATGGCTCTAAAAGAGAGAAACTACTTTTGAACATGGGTGTATTGCATAATTTTTCATTTGTATTATATAATTTTTATTTGTAATATATTACGTTCTATTTGTTTTGCAAAATGTTTATTTGTATTCAATAATTTTTTTAGTTGTATTGTATTCTTTAAAATGATATACATATATAATAAATATTGGTGCAATTGAGCAAACTTAAAATGTCTTTTCTTTGTTTCTTAAGCTTTAAATAAGGCTTGATAATAACTAAATACATGTAATAATGTGGTGCATATAAAATGTTACAAAATTATCCTCACAATGTAAAATCTTGCTATAAAGCCGGTAAAACCAAGATTTGACGGTTTCAACCACAGACGCTTAAAAAAACCTTTGGTCCGACTTTTTACATGCCTGTTTGGATAGACTTGATATTAAGTAATTTCACATTTTATGAGCCTGCTGTAAATAAAATTTTAATAAATGTACCTACAATCACTGCACTCATCCGTTTTCAACAGGTGTTAATGTTGACTACAGATTTATCTTTACTCCTTTTCTCATGTAAAAGCAAGAGATTCCTTAATGAATACGCTATTGTCAGTTAATTATACCCGCACTTTCTAAAGAAAGTTCGGGTATATTGTTGTTACTCATGTCCGTCCGTCTGTCTGTCTGTCCGTCCGTCCGTCCGTCCGTCTGTCACATTTTTCTTCCCTGAACTCCTCCTACATTTTACTCAGTAGCCTAATCACCTTTAGGGAGATGGTTGGGGGTGTCATGTAGATGTGCAGTAAGGTTTCGGAATTTTGATTCTGCCCCTGGGGGTCAAATGGGGGGCCGAAAAATGACGTTTTTTATGCAAAAAGCCCCGTCTTCCCTGATCTCCTCCTACATTTTACTCAGTAGCCTAATAATCTATCGGGAGATGGTTGGGGATGTCATGTAGATGTGCAGTAAGCTTTCGGAATTTTGATTTTTGCCCCGGGGGGTCAAATCAGGGTCAAAAAATGATGTTTTTAATGCAAAAAGCACCGTCTTTCCTGAAATCCTCCTACATTTTACTCAGTAGCCTAATCCAATTAGGGAGATGGTTGGTGGTGTCATGTAGATGTGCAGTAAGCTTTCGGAATTTTGATTTTGCCCCAGGGG